ACATCAGGCTGCCTCTCTCACCCTGTCACGGCAAAGCCATATGCCGGCCTCCAGAAACGAGCTCGGTGGTCGGGCCGAAGCTGCCTCCGCAGGAGGTCTTTCCCCCAGCCTCTCTGGTTTCCGAAGTTCAAAGTCCTTACCCCGTCTCCCTCGCAAGCCTGGGTCCCTAGTGTCGATGACTGCCTCCTTTGCTCTCTTTTAACAGAATTCGAGATTATCTCAGTTTCTCTTTCTCTATTGCTTCCTCCAGCTAATGTATATAGGGAATTATTAATACACATGCCTTTTTAGTCTCCCCCCACCCCAACTCACTGTTTTAATCGGAGCCTTTTGCATAGCTTCCTTTCTCCACCTTTGTCCTGGTCCATTCCGCATGTGATCACCGCACTGCTCTTTCCCCATGGCAACGGCGGTATTGTCACAACTACCGGCGTGTACGTGCAGTGACGAAACGGCTGAGCTTTGTCACTACGTAAGGTCGGTCAGTAGATACATGATATGCTCATCCTATCGTCGGAAAGAGGGACCGTTTCCACTCATAGACGATCATGATGGGGAAGGGGGAATGACGCCTCACACAGCAATTTTAAATGAGTTATTTATTTTAAGTTGCTTAAAGTAAGTGCTGGGAAGCTGCGGTCTGCAAACCCTTCATTTTCCTGGCTCAGCAGAGGAGTAAAATGCTACCTAGATGCACAGCTCCATTCTAGGAGGAATGGATTCTGTTAGGGAAGAGATCCGGGGTGGCCCTGGTGTTTGACCGAGCATCTTGCCGGCTTTTGTGTGTGCACGGGTTGGCTTGGCAGCGAGCTTGAGCGTACGCAGCGGAGAAAGGAGAAAACCGCCGTGTGTGGGGGTCTGAGGAGCATACGGAGTTCTTACAGAAAACCCGGGAGGAAGTGAGCGGAGAACGAGACTGGGAGGGGTGAAAGCAGCCAGAGAGGTCAGAGTGCTGAGAACGCATCACAGGCCAGCAAAACACGCCCAGAAGCAGGATGGCCAACCAAAAAAGAAAAAAGGTTTAAGAATAGGGATGTCTGCTTTTAAATTTAAAATTTTTATTACTCTTGTTCCGTAAACCTTCCTTGTCTCCCCCAAACTATCAGTAAACTGTCTTAGCACAGAAAAGGCTTATTTGAGTGGAATTCTGTAGAAATCACAACAAGGATGTGAACTATCCAGGTCCACAAAGCGTAGAATAGGAACAGCCAAAGCAAGGTAGAGACGGGGTCATTTGAACCGAGATCAGCAGGTTGTGGAGCCGGAAGTTGCCGGGAGAATTTAGCCCCTGCAAATTCGCAGTCTCTCCAGGTTGTTGAACTTTCCACAGGTCCTGGCATGAAAGGGTGTGGTCCACTGTGACCCGGATTTTGAGGATACCCGCTGACGTGTGCACAAGGTGGTCGCCCTCTTCCAAACAAACATCAGTTTGTCATTGTCCCACTTAAAATGTAACGGCTAACATGAGGCACGCGTTTCCAAATGGTTTACTGCCAACACAGAGAACAGGGCCCTCTCTCATTTCCTGAGACTTATTATGCTTCTGCCCATGCTGAGTGCAACCTAGGTTTGCGTCGTGTATTTCAGCCCATCACATGTGAGTCTCGTAGCCACTGATTTTTTTGACATGAAAAACTGTGCCTTCTCCCACTCCCCTAACGCTGCATTTCCAGGCTTTTTTTTTTTTTTTAATAATCTAAATTTAAGAACTTATATTTTTTCTCTACTGAATTTCATCTTTTGGGTCTTTCCTGGCCAGCATTCCACCCCGTTGAAATATTTCAGGGTTCCGGTCTGGCCATCCCTTTTCTCGGCGGCAGATCCGATCGGCATGCCTTCACCCCACAAGGGTGACAGGGCGTTGCGGGCAAAGAAAAGAAAAGGAACACAGATCTGAAGCCCTGGATCGTTGCCCTCCACTCACAGTGTCTGGCAAGCAAGGGCTGGTTATCTAACCTTTCAGATCCTCAGTTTCCCTGTTTGCAAAATAGAAAAACCATCTCTGGCAAACCTGCCTCGGATTATCATGAGACTTGAGTTATATATCGGTGTGTGTGTGTTCTGTGGGCTGACGTGCTTGTATCACACACCTGTGAAATCAGCTATTATTTTTACTTATTTAATTTTCGAGACAGAGTCTTGCTATGTCAACCTGGCTAGAGTACTGTGGCGTCATCATAGCTCACTGCGACCTCCAACTCCTGGGCTCAAGCGATCCTCCTGCCTCAGCCTCCCCAGTAGCTGGGACTACAGGCATGTGCCACCATGTGTGGCTAATTTTTTCTATTTTTGGTAGAGACGGGGTCTCGCTCTTGCTCAGGCTGGTCTCGAACTCCTGAGCTGAAACGATCTGCTGGCCTCAGCCTCCCAGAGTGCTAGGATGACAGGCGTGAGCCACTGGCTCCACAGAAATCAGCTTTTTAAACTAAAAGAATTGTTATGTAAATGTATGCGCTAGCATGCCTGGCATCGCATCCCTGTATTCTGTGGGGATCCCATAAGGTCAAGAAGGTCATAATGAGCGTGGCGCCGTCTGGGGTTACCTGTTGAGGTCTCCTTCCAGGAGAGCTCTTGGTGCGCACAATCAATGCCCCACCACACGCTTCCTGAACACCCGCCGCACGCCAGCCAGCGGCCCGGGCGCACGGGATACAAACATCAATGAGACACGAGGATCTTATCTAAGGCCATTAATAAGAAATTCTAAAGGACAAAAGAAGAGGGGAGAGCGCAGCCACCAAGGGGCTGTTTCTCTGCTCTTAGATGAAAAAGAGATCATGTCCTTCTAACTCATAAGGAAAAAAAAAAACAAAACAGGAAAAACCTCTTCTAATGCTTTCAGCAGACTATATCACTTCTAAATTATCATTGCACGTCTTTGTGTTCTGGTGCATACAGAGAAAAGAAGCAATCATCTGAGATGATTTTGAAGACGAAGTTCTTCCCCGTGACTAGTTTGGTCTAAAGAAATCCCCTGAGGTCGAGTCTCCAAAGAGGCAAATAAAATGCGGATGTGGAGCTCCCCGTTCCCAGAGACGCTAATCGGAATGGTCTGGGGCGAGCCTGGCTTTACCCGGGCAGCCTGGTGCGTCCGCGCTGGGAGCCGCCGCCAGAGAAATGAAGCCGGCAGGAGTTCGAATTCAAAACTCTGCGAAAGAGCAGCCTAGGGTGCAAGAAAGGATGTAACACGATTCTTATAAAACACTATCTTACTTGTAGGTTTCTTTCAAAGGTTACTTTAGAATTATTACCTTAAATATTCTTTTTCTTAGCGTTAACTATGTAAATGCAATTTGGGGAGGGTGCAAAATAATATGGACGTTGCTGTTAAAGCCTGAGGAAAACAGAACAACTATCTCAGAAAAAACAAAAAGCACCATCTGGTGATTTGAGCCACGTGAACGTCACCCACTCTCCATCTACCTAAACTGCCACGCAGTGTGATGTTTTGAGTGATGAATTTCCTGCTTTTACAAAGATATCATTGTAGTAATTAAAATTGCCCATCCATTTCAATGTATCACCTCTCAAAAAAAAAAAAAAAAGGAAAAGAAAAGAAATTCAGTGTTACAGCGTCTAAACCAAAAGCATAAGGGCAGCGAATGGAAAACAGCTGTTCAGCCTAGTGTGTGTTCAAAACAATTTTTTCAAGTCAGATGTGTGTGTGTGTGTGTTCGTACAGCCCCCAAACACAGACTAACCATTTATGTATTAAAATGCCCATTTGTTTGACATGATAATGTCAATTAAGTAAGCCACATATTGTTGAAAAGCAACTACTTGATTATTTCTTTTCATCCTTATTCCTATGGATTTTTCAAATATCTAGGACCAGGGAATCTTGGCATTTTTAACTTAATCCAATCCTTCCCTCTTATTAAGACCTCACCCAACTGGCTAGGGGAAAAAAAGTATCTTATTTAGAGGGAAACTACAACCCATAATTTATTCTAATATTCTGGTGAGAGATGAAAATCAAAGGTATCTATTAAACAGTTATTCAATTTTAGAAAAGGTAGTCATGAGACATTTATGGGCATTCATTCAAGGAAAAAAAAAACGAGACTTGGAAGTTAAGAAACAAATCTTTAACCCTCAGAAAACCAAGAGATTTTTTTAACATCTTACTTTATAGTAGCGTCTGGCAAAAGGCAATGAAATTCCATTCCCAAAATGAGGAAGTTGATGGTGATTCTGGCAACAATTCATTTATACAGAATTATATTATTTACAAGACTTTTCTTGCACGTCTCATTTATTCCTCCCAACATCCTTGTGTAACCATTTTACAAATAGAGAAAATAAGTCTGAGTAACTAATTTATCCATTAGTCACAGGGAACGCGAAACACTGGGAATTAATGTTCCTGTCTCTCAACGCTCGGCGCCATTTCCCTTGGGTCAGCAAATATTTAGGGTGACTGTGGGCCCGGGATTAGCGAAGGGTTGGGAGTAGAGCACACTTAATAAAAAGGAGAGAAGAGGTCCTCGGGGTAATCCTAACTTAAAAGGGATGACTCGGCTTTGTCTGAGCCAGTGTAAAACCGCAGATTTCTTATCCAAATAGAAAATGAAAACAAAGAAAAATGTTAAGTGCTTGAATCACACCATCCAGTGCAGAAATGTTCCATATCTAAGTCACGAAGCACCCCCAGGCCTACAGATATTTTATTTCAGGTCCTCTGCATTCCTCTGGGATAAAATGGAATAAAACCCGGCAAGACTAATAGAGAAAGCCAAATGCGGCACTGAAACAAAACTGGCATTTTTGGTAAAATGACAAAAGCACAGTAAACCTCTAGAACTAATCTAGGGATATTTCTGAGCTGGAGAGCCACTGGAAGAGCCTCTGTGCCAAGTGCCCACCTGAGCCTCTGTGTTGCAAAGAGCCGATGGCTCTTTGCAACATTGTAACAAGCCGGCACTCAAGATCGCGTTTGCTATGCACGCAAATCCGTGCCCTGTTACATACTATTAACTTTGTACCTCTTAAATACTTACTGCAAACATTGTTGTCCAAAAGGTTATTCAAATGTATCCTTCCACCAGGCTGTATAGTAGAAAGCCCAAATCCTTGTATTCTTGCCTGAATTGGATAGTCGATTTTTCCCTCAATTTCTGTTAATTTGATGGATAAAAAAAAAATGAATCTATTTTTGTTCATATTTTTTGTGTATAAATTACATTTTTAAATTTTTTTATTTTCTCTTTTGTGGATTATTTGTTCAGGTCTTTTGCCTATCATTTAAGTAATTTTAAGAAACTCAGGGGTAAAATTAGAAGCTGCTAGCCACATTTTGTAACTTAGGAGCAGGCAACTTCACAGTTTATAAGGATTATACGAGTATATCTCATAACTACGGACTTGGGAGTCACAATTTTTTGTGTGTGCAAGTGGTAGAATTCCTGAGTATTTGTACATTAGTTATTAAGGGAATTTAAAAATTATTTCAGGAAATAGTAACCATGGTAGACTAATGTATTATCTACTCTTTGTGAAGGAGATACGTACATGATTAAAAGCAAAACTGGGGATGTGTTTATCAAGACTTTCAAAGCCCTTTGACAGTAGTTCAGAATAAAAATAATTTTGTTTTGTTTTAATTGGGTTAGGAAGGTATTAGCCACATCTTATAACTCACTAACAACAATAAAAAAACAAAAAAGGCGACTGTGAAATATGTATTTAGAGCGGCTTGTCCATGGAGAGTGAACTGGCTCGGAGGTAGAAGACCAAGGGCAACCCCACACTGAACAAAACAGAGTTGGAACAGCGGTGTTTGCTTGTGACCGGTGCTGGAAACATCTGACTTCAATATTGTAGGAAATATGCAGTGACATTTCTGATTTTCAGGCAACACCGAGCTTTTCCAAGTCATGAAACGTCAAGTCGCATTGGGAAGGAAGACGGAGAAAGCTCCCAGGCATAACCTTCTTGAGGCACACGGGGTGGGTGGGTGCTGGGGAGCTTGCAGGTTTGGCTGGTTTGGGGCTTTTTTGTGTGAGTTGGTAGAAAAGAGGCAGGTAGATTTAAAAGTGGACACGTGTGGGGTGGCATGTCTCAGCAGGCCCAGCACTCCAGGGTCACGGATCGCTGGAACCGCTGAGCTTCCTCACGTCACCCATCAGGCGCTTGGGCTGTGAGCGCCAACTGGCCGGCAAACGCCAGCCCGGCGGGTTAGCCAAATCTCCCTGTTTGGAAAGACAGTGACCAACATCCTGCCCAGTATAAAGTCACAGCACCCTCTGCAGTAAGAAAGCTGTGGGAATCCTAAGGAACATTTTTTAAAGCTCACAATCACCGTGTATTTCATGCGTGCAGCGCACCGTGCTCACACCTCACATGTGGGCAGAGTTATTACTGAAGCCACACGGCAGCCCCACAAGGTAAGCCTTTAGTGCTATTGGCCCATTTTATAGACGCGAAAACCGAGTCTCGGAGATGTCAGACAAGTCACCAGAGCTTACTCGGTGAAGTAAGTGAAGAGTTTGGATTTGAAACCCGTCTAATTAAGAGCCTGTCCCTGGCCTGGCGTGGCGGCTCACACCTGTAACCCTGGCATCCTGGGAGGCTGAGGCAAGAGGATCGCTTGACTCCAGGAGTCGGAGGTTGCTGTGAGCTAGGCTGACGCCACGGCACTCACTCTAGCCTGTGCGACAGAGCGAGACTGCCTCAAAAATTAAAAAGAAAGGAAACGAGGCTCTCCTTGGCCGTCCCCACGCGTGAGCGAAGGCGGAGCCACACCCGCGAGGGCGGGGAAGGGCCGCGGGCAGGGCCAGGCCGTCTGCAGAGAGGAGCTCACGGCAGCCCCAGCGAACCCCCAAAAGGCGCGGCCGGGGGAAGCTGAGGAACAGGCTGCGCCCACCCAGGGGAGGCGACTCGGCTGTGAGCCGCCAGCACAGGTGCTGCGCTGGAAATGCCAGAGCGTGCGCCGTCCAGACAGACGGGAAGGGCTGGTTTGCAATCGGTGGATGAGGAACACCGGCTCCCCGCGAGGGCATTGGCACGCCGGGCCGGCACCGAAGGCCCGTGCGTCTGCCCGGGAAGGAGCCTGGGGCCGCGGCCCGGAGAGGACCGGGCACGGGCTGCAAGTCTCGGCGAGATGGCTCCTCATCTGCGCTGTCTAGACGCCATCACACACGCTTGCCCGGCTGACCCCCGGCTGGCCTGGCTTTGCTTTGCGGGGGCTGTTTGTTCTCTTATCTACCTGGGAGTCTTGCAAGCACCAGACGCTCCCCGGGCTGAGCGCCTTGGAGCACGCTTTCCCCTTACTGGAATGTTCTTCGGCCCGCTGCCGTTCAGGGGGCGGCCGTGGGGCAGGGCGAGGCGCCGCGTGTTCAGATGTGCCATGAATCAAGACGAATCTTCTGCTGGACGCTCGTCTCCTTCGGGCGCGACGGTGTGATTTAAAGGCCGTCCATTTGCCGCACCCGCTCGCGAGCCCAGGGCGCGTGGCGGCAGGGGCAGGGCCCGCACGCGCCTGGCACCAGCACCGCCTCTGCCCCGTGAGGCGGGAAACACGGGATGATCGACGCTTGAAACGCCGTCACTGCCTGTCATCCCGTGTCCCTCGCTTTGTTTTTCTGCGTTTTCCTCTCTGTTAGGACCGTGTTCTGTCCTGCAACTCCTGCTTGGTAGGGAAAGCTGGCGCACCATCTACACTCCCCCAGCACCCTGCCTCAGTTTCTCTCTCGCTCTCCCGGCCGCCGACAATGAGCGGGAAAACCTGCCAGCGCAGCGGCCAACACGGCGCTCCCATCCCAGCGCGCAGAGAGTCGCAGAGCCGGGAAACCGCAGCGGAGGACCAGAGGCCCCCATGTCACCTGCTCCGTGGTCACCGCCGGCCGTCATGGCCTCATGAGTGTGACCTAGAAGCGTATCTTCAGATTTAAAAAAAATAAAAGCAACCGTTATTATATAAAAACAATGCTGACCTGATGAACAGATTAGAGTATTTAAGCCCTTATGTAAATTTTTTAAAAGATTTTTATCATGGAGCAATTTGAAAGCCCTCAATATTCCCCACATAAAAGACCTTTTTCATATTTTGCTTTTTCCTTCTTCCTGATAACCTCAGTTTCAGGAAACATCAGAATTTAATCCTTGAGCTCCCTGGAAATAAATCATCAGCTTTCAGATTATCTCAAGAGCTTCCGCGACATTTAAAAGGCAGACCTGTCATCTGTTTATGTGTGCGGTACGATTCCAGCCAGGCGAACTATAAATCACAAAACCTGGGAGAAAAACGAAAACAATGTTTGCCTTTAAATGGCATAATTCTGAGAGATTTTTCTGCATTTTAGGGTTATATGCAATGAGATACGTTTATCACGAGAAATAAAAGGAAACAATAAAATATTTAGTTTATTTTATGAAGTCCAGCCCCCTAACCAGGCGCGGAAGGGAGAGCCCCAGGCTCGCCCGTGAGTGGAACTTCCCCAGGGTCCCGAGTGCCTGCAGGCAGCGCCGGGCGGGCGCTCAGCGCGGGTGAGGGACGGGGCCTGGGAACGGGACGGCAGGGACCCAAGGCAGTCACAGCCGTCCCCCAGGGCCGAGGCCGGAGCACAGCCCTCCTCAGTTCCAGCCGGGTCCCACCTGACAACGGGGGAGACGCCGCGTGTGCCGGCGGGCAGGGCGTCACTGGCTGCGCGGGCGGGGAAAGCTCAGACCCGGGAAGGCCGCGACCCGGGAGTCCCCGGCAGCAGCCTCGGGGCTGTCCGCCGTCTCTCCAGGAACCTGGACCTGGGTCCGGTCCGAGGGAGGGTCTGATACTAACAGGCGGATCACCCCTTCTCCGATGCCCGTCACGCGACTAGACCAGGGTAAGCGGGGTCGCCGCGGGGCAGGCCGGCCGGCCGCTCTGTCTCGGGACAGCGACACGAGGCCGGTCCCGGCGCGGCTCTGACCCCCTGTGCTCCCTGTGTCAGCGCCGTGGCCGTCCTGACACCTCGCTCACGGTTCGTCCGGAATGCAGCCGCGCCCGCACGGCAGCCAGGGGTCAGGGCTGCAGCGGGCGGTCCCGCCTCCTTAACCCCCACCCTCCGGAGCCGGACGTGGGCGGGACAGCCCTGGCGGCTGGTGCGAGGATCTGCCAGAAAGCGTTTAGGGCCCCCAGCGCAGCGCCTAACCCCCGGCGCACGCCCTTCACAGCACCGGCGCCTGACACAGGGAGCGGGCGCTGGCAGAGAAGTCCGAAGACAAAGATGCAGCCTTTCCCTCCTTTGCTCACAGGCATTTCTGGGGTGTTTTAAAAAAGACTTGTTGGAAGTGAGATTTTGGACCTGCGTGAGCAGGACCCAGCAGGATGCTCTCTTGCTACGCACGTGAATCTCCCGGTAGCCTGGACTTAAAAAGCCGAAAACACCCAGCCCCCAGACCCCACCCTGCGTCATTATTCCTTAAGTCACTGAAGTCGCACCTGAGAGGAACATCACTGTTAGTGTCCGTCTTGGCATCCCAATTCGCACCGGCGTTAAACAAAAGCCTGAGACCATGGGGAAGTGCAGAGATCAGCGCCCAAGAGAAAGACGCCAGGGAGGGAGTTTGCAGGCCAGGGCCCTGCCGGGTACCCTCTTGCCCTCAGGCACAGGGGGCTCCGCCTGCCGCGTGGCTGAGGCGCAAAGCCCGAGACAGGCGGGCGAGGCGGCGCATGGCCGCTGCATGCCCTCGGGCCCGCGGGTTGGAAGGCCGCGGTTCCTGCGGTCGCCCTCCCCCACGCAGTGTACGCGTTCCGCGGCTCCCAACGTGTGTTTCCACCTGTTCCTTGTTCAACGTGTGTCTGCCCTGCAAAGTTCCACACGTCCGAGGATGTTGGGTGGATCTGAGACCTGCCCAAAGCAAGGAATCGCGGTAGCTCTGCCTTTTCACGTCTCTCCATGCGGGCATTCACTCGGACACCCTGGGCATTAAGCCACCGTCTCTCATTCATTGCAGGCATCAGCGATACGTTGCACTGGGACGAGTCGGGGAGGAAACAGACCACCGTCGGTTCTCCTCGTCCGTCCCCTGGCCCCTTACATTTATTCCGCTGGGTGGAAGGGGCCGTCCCTTGTGCCTGGGTGAAAACCCCCTAGACACCACCCACCCTCGGGTCAGGGCCCTGATCTAAATCGCACGCAAAGTCTCCGTCAGTGACAAGAGGCCCAGACCCACGTAATGGTAGCGTATCTGAGCCTCCCGTGGTGCGGAATTATCTCCCCGGCCCCAGTGAAGGAGCATTTCGGGCTGTGGCCAGCAGTGGGATTGAGACTCCCCTGCCCTTTGACCTCCCTCCTGACCTCTGCCCCCTGCCCTTGTGCGTCCTGGCCCTGCTGCCGGCAGCGGGGACGTGGAGAGGGAGGAAGGGTGAGGGGGTGGGCGGTCCCTCCTCGCTGGGTGGCTTTGCCCTCTCTGGACCTGGACGCGGCTGAAACCAGCTGGGTTTCTCGGCGGGTGCTGCTGCGGCCCCTCACCTCCTCCTCCCCAGCGGCCTCCAGGCTGCCCTACGGGACCGGACCAGCTCCAGACCTCAACAGCTCCACATGGCCCACGCCTGGCATGGGAAGACCTGCACATCTCGATTCCCGGGCTCCTGATACGCAGGGACTCGGACCCCTCCGCCTGCGAAACGTCCCAGGACGGAAGAGACCCCAGGCCACGGCACACCCGTCACCTCTCTCAGGCACGAGGCAGGTGCCGATCCTCTGTGTGTCCCCCATGCAGGGAACACATGTCAAGGCTCGAGGGTGGCCCTTCCCCCACCACTGAGCTGCTGCGGTTTGCAGGTGTCGCCCCTCCCCCGCCTCTGCCACGCAGGGGACGTGCCTGGCACTGGCTCTCTCCCCGTGACTGTCCTCCCGTCTCCCGTCCCTGCAGACTCTGACCGCCTCGTGTGCTCCCCTCGCTGAAGGGCCTGAGAGTCTTGGAACCAGTTCTTAGCCATCTTCTCTGGAAACCCTCACCTGTGGCTCACTCTGTCTCACACGCGCACGGGGACTGGTGACCGCCACGCTGGGTCTCCGTTGCGGCAGAGGCCGGAGCGGCCCCGTTCTGACATCCTGTTACATCAGTGAAGATGGAATTTCTCTGGAATGGCATGTATGGTCCGGGTGCCAGGAGTTCCTCACAATCAGCGCTGCAGAGGAAATACCAGAGGAAGCAATAATGAGCTGCCGTTCATTGTAAAACATGACCTAGGTGTGTCTTCTTTCTGTGTTTATAAAATGACAGGCAGTGTTATAATTTAACTTCCCACACAGCAAGTGAAAGGATGGGCCGAGAGGTCACTTCAGGGTGAGGTTGGAATAGATGGGTTCTCCACATGGTTTGATTTGCCATAAAGTAGTTTCTTACGCCTCCAACGGTGATGCAAGAAACTGCCCCTTTAACTCGCCCTGAATCACGAATGCCCTTAACAACGCAAGGAGGAATGTTTTCTCTAGAAGAGCACACGGTAAAGTGCAAAAGGAACTCCGGATGTTCAGCCACAGCAAGTTTTTCCTGCCGTATTTGCCCCTAATATGACTGCCTTCATCTTCCTCAGTCACTGCATACCGAGTCTTCAGCCTCTGAGAGCTCGGTTTAGTTTTAACAGGCAAGCCGGCCACGGCCACAGCAAGACGTGAAGAAATGGAGAAGTCCAGGAGAGGGTTGCTGAAAAGAGGGGATGTGAACGACAGAGAGCTTGGGATACTGACCCAAACCTCCGGATAAACGATGCAAAGCCTGTTTGCTCTTGAGCTGGGGAAACGATAGCCCCACCTTGGCCCCGGGTTTGGAACACTGGAAAATGGAATTATACCAAGTTTCAAACAGATCTGAAACTTTTTAAGGTGACATGTTTGAATATGCATGTTTCAAGTGAAAGAATGTTGTTGCAGCGATAACATAAGAGCCATTTGTAGGAAACTCGCAAGTCTCATTTAAAAAGGAATATATAAACCAGTGCACGTTAGCTGGCATTTATTTAAAAAATACTTGAGTCCACATGAAATTTAAAGGGCATCCTTTACAAGTTGCAATGCATATTTCATAGCAGGAATTAAAAGGTACCCATAAAAGTACAGCGCCAGGTGGGGTATGAGGAGGTGTGACAATCAATGCAGCAACTTCAGGACAGACTTGAACTGAAACGGGTTGTAGAACGTTGTTTTCTGAAGACCAATAACTAGCCTTGTCGCTTGCTGTGAAACAAAACAGTGCAGGTTCCCCAGATGAAATCCGTGAGCTCTGTAAAAACTCCAGTCACTGCTCCCCCCACACACCTGAGCCCTTACCAACCCTGTGAGGATGAGGTTCTTCTCACCCAGGAGCACAGCGGCCGGGAGGGAGGCAGACGCTGGAAAGCGCTAGAACTGTGTACAGTGTTGCCGGTGTGATCTGACAATACTCGGACGTCTCTAGCATCAGGTTCACACATAATTTGAACCAGCCAGATTTCTTTTGAAACTTTCTCTAAAAGGTTTTACTTAAACTGGAAGATGAAGATGTGAGTATCAGGTGGAAAAAAATTATTCTTAGTAACCCAGGTGAGTTAAAGGACCCTAAAATGATCCAAGTGATGCACACATAGCACTTCCCAAGCAGGGTCTGTCACCACAGTACCTGTTTCTGTGATAGAGCTATCCGGGCGTCAGAGAAGAAGCTCATTAGCCCGCCATGGCATGTCTTCGGTTGTCATTTCGTGAGCACCTAGCAAGTGCTGGGCACTGTCTTAGGCACCAAGCACATTAGCTTTGTAAAAGGTAGACCCAGCCCTATTCTTGTGGAGCTTGAAGCCTTAAATCCATTTTAGGTTTCACAGAAAACTCATCTGCCATTTAGATGCCCACTCTAGGTCTGGGCAAAGGTTTTATTCTACTGTATTTACCCGAAAATAAGACAGGGTCTTGTGTTTATTTTTCCTCAAGAAGACACCTCAGGGCTTATTTTCAGGGGATGTGTTATTTTTTTAAAGTATGGTACAACCATCTACATTGATTCAAACATAGTGAAGTCATCTTCTTCTGGAACATCATCATAACTCTCCAAACCCCGAATTCCAACCTGAATGTCTTGCGACTCTGTTTCCTTTAGAACCATCGGCCCCAATCTCTCCTGTCGAGCACTAGAGCTCTCACGGGGCGGATGAGAAGGGCTGCTCGTGTTCTTTCCCGCTCCGCGACGACATGCACGGGTTGTGCAAATGTGCTGCGCAGCCACGCCCGTCACCAGGGCTTATTTTCGGGGTGGGGCTGCTATTGTGCAAATGCTTAGAAATCCCGCTAGGGCTTATTTTATGGGTAGGTCTTATTTTCGGGGAAACACAGCATTTAAAAATGCACGCACCCACACACACACTCCGGCATAACGAGGCTGCTGGCTGTGACTTCTTTGCCGTAGAGAGCAGAGCCACCTGCAGCGACAGAGGAAACACGCCTGCAGTGGGGGGGGGGGCACTCCCAGCACCTGCTGTCGAGTCCCGGGGCCGGGAGCCCCATGCTTGGGGTCTGTGCTCTGAGGCCCCCACGGGTACAGTCGGGGATGAGCCCGGAAAGCCCAAACCACCACCAAGACCCGGACTTTTCCCCAAATGGCTGCAGGCAGATCCTGGGAAAGGCCGCTGAGAAAGAAGCAGCCCACGGACAAGGGCTGACAAGCAAGTGAGCAACTTTCAAAAACCTCTTTTAAGTTAGGGAAAGGAAGTTCAAAACATGCATGAGCTTCTTCCTCGACTTGCTGAAAACTTTCGTGTATGCGAACATCTCACAGAGTATACAAACTCTTCTTGTTATTTTTTCTAACCTCATTGAGGGGATTTCCAAGGCTCATGTTTACTTGAATTAGAGTAGATTCCACCCATCAGCTTTCAGACGGACTAGTCCCCCTGAGATGGGGTGAGCGCCCGGCCCCTGCCTGGCCAGCGAGCTGCCTCCGTAGCCGCATCTCAGAGACGGCCCTGTTTGGGGGGCATCACAAGGGTCGCACGTGTTTGAGTGCAAGAAATGATTTTTTTGGAGTATCAGAAACTTACCTGCTAGATTGTCTATGGAAGCTCTTTTTCAATTATCTAAAAACTCTTTCATTTTGGTTTTGAAAAATGCTCAAGATGAGAGTTAAAGTTCTCGGTGTGCTCGCGGAGAGTTTATGGCACTTTGGTCCCTGCTGGTTGTGTGAGAAATTCTAAGAATATACGACTTTATTGGTTTTTATTTGTGAATAACCAACAAGCAAATATATAGCAAAACATGCACTGGGCTTTATCTACCTAATGATAAAGAGAGAATTTGAGAGACATAGGTAATTTCCACCGTAGTGAATAATCTTCTTAAGAAATTCTATGGCAGAGCACTACAATGCATCTTACTTGGTAAGTAATTTATTCCACTTTTCTCATAGTATTGGGCACTATAGTACTAAGATTATTACCAAAAATTAGTTATTGAAGGCATATGTCCATGTGCCTCTGTTCATTACATGAAATTAAACTCAGGATCTAAACAGTCTTTCCTTCACACAATCCCACAAAAATGCACAAAGTCAGTATAACTTGAAAAAACAGTGCGGTGTTTCTCTAAATACAGAAAGGAAAACATCTGCCTTGAAATTTTTTTAGACCCTGCCTAAATCGGCATGTGCTTTGCATTAGTCCTGTAGTGTTCAGACTTGCACACATGCACACATATGTGTGCACTGTGCGTGCTCACACGTGGTTTAGGGAGGAGGGATAGGTATGTCTATGTACCTGCCAAACCCAGACCGCTTCTTTGAAACTCAGGGAAATTATCCTAAATAACCTCCTCTAATGCATACATACATATATAATATGTATATATGTATGTATGCATATTATGCATATGTATACATATATGTATTTAACAGGTATACAAAGGCACTGTGGAATGCTTTATATATATTTTAATGGGTTCTCAGAGTTGGGGTGGGTGAGTTATTCTTCTGTATTTTAGCTATAGTGTCCTTTTTGAGAAAACATTTGCGTGTGATCTTTGTAGATGTGCATTCCCGAAGGGGGAAAGTCTAAGAAAAAAAAAAAAAAAAGACCCCAGAAATTATCTTCTGGTTTACTTTTTACAACAGCTGTTAAAATTCAGAGAGTGGCAGGGAAATGTCTGTAGCAGCTGCACAGTTTGCCACAAGAGACAGACGCCTCTTTTACCTGCCCTAGTGAGCAGCTTATCAGCAAGCACATTAACTCGAACAATAACCACTCTTATCTGCAAAGGCCAGGTTCAGGCGCATTAGCCGGGAATTGGCAGCCGCCCCTCTCTGCATAGCAACTGGCAAATATTGTCGCAGCCGCCGAGGCCAGCAGGAACCCCGAGTCTTCTCAGCATGAGCAGCGTTCGTGTGAACAGCTCTCCTTCGCTCGCTCCCCTTCTCAGTCAGTCTTCGCCGTCTCAAGAGCATGATCTCATCTGCAGACTGTAAATACTTGGGGATTTTTATGGAGGGAAAATATGACCCAGGGCTGGAGCTTGCTTCGAGAACAACTTAGGTAGGCACTTTGGTTTGGTTGCTGGCCGCTCGCATAGGTTGCGGCACTTGAAAAGTGCTGCGGCGTGCACGGATCCGTTACGGAGATTCCGAGATGTCCGTGCATAAAAGAGTAACATTGATGGTTTTTACTGTCCTGTAAAGACCTAGAGTAACTGAGGTCAAGCAGGCTGCGTGCTTCCTAACCACTGAGTGAACGGGCCAGGTTCTCGCTCTGAGGCGGCGTGGGCGGGGCGTGCTCTGGCGCCGGTGAGCGGCAGGGACGAGCGTGCGGGAAGCACAGGCAGGGGCTGTCTGCTGTCTCTTCCCACCACGGGACTCGAACCCGTCCAGTGCAATATCGACCATGTTTCCTGTGTCTTTCCTTCTCTGCCTGTGCTTTTTGCCCGTTTTACGGCACCGGCAGATATGGAAGCCTTTGCCTTCCGTGTAAACGTGTGTTACGATTCAACAGGGAACCGGGGCTTCAAATTACCTCCTCCAGATGCGACAACCTCAGCTATCTACCAAGTGCAAAGCAAGCAACTTGCGTTAATGTCAAAGGCTTCGTAACGCAGTATGTTGCAGGGTTTACTAACAGAAAAAAAATGCAATAATTGTCTCTATTCAGGAGTCTCTACTTCAGATCAGATTGATGCTGACTTCGTAAATGCTGAGATGTTTGGTTCTCGTTTTCAGCCCAGAAGAAAATTCCCACAAAGGCAGACTCAGTCTGGCCACCTAAGCGTTCTGTCATAGGAGTGGGCCTGCTTTCTTTCCCTCATGGGCTTAAAACTTGGCCACGTGGCGTTTTTAAGTTGGCAGAGTCGTGCCTTCTCGACAGGGCTTTGGGAATCTGCTTAATTGAGCACAGCAGGTTAACACAGGCGCCAATGTTCCTTAAAGACTAGAACCGAAATGCTCCATGGGCCTGAAGCTCATGTTAAATACGAGAGTGAATTGCCAACTGCGTTTTCCCATGTTTATCTTCTGAGATAGGAATAAAATTAAAGTGTGTTGCCATAGCAGCATCTGTAACATTTTACGAGACAAAAGATCCTTTTTTTCCACACAGAGATCCGAGCCAGGAGCATGATCCATTAAGGGAAGCAAGAGAGGCTGGAGGGACATATTTTTCACAGGCATGTTATGGAAACACGAAGGGTCCAGCACCCTGAGGTCAGACGGGGAAGCACAGCTGCTCACATTCATCTCCGCCCCGACTGACGGCCTCAGTTTACCCCTGAATGCGGGTCAGCTCCCACCCCCCAACTCACCTAAACCTGGGAGAGCTTTCTCCCACCCATGTTTCTTCTCAAGTCACATTTCTGGGATAACAAAGCGGTGAGAATTAATCTGCGTCTCGAGAAGCATTTACTTAGGCTTCATGCCTGACTCGGTTTTGTGATCTTGATTTTTTTTGTCCTCTGGAGTTTCTTTCTTTGGCTGTCTTTGAAAATGATGGCAGGGCCTCACCTGAAGGGAGAAAGCACAGACAGCGCGAAACCTTTCGGCCATGAGTTTCCTTTGCACTTCCTCCCGCCACCCTCGCCCCCTCTACCCCACTCACGTCTGCGCCTCCTTCCTTCCAGCTCGTCATCACCGCTGCCCTTCCCCCACATTTGCCCAACCGAATTCGCGAAACTTCAGTCATTCGTTTGTTCTACATGTGGTTCTGTGAGCTCCAAGCAGGAGGTCCTAATTGGATCCATTTTAGAACTAAGAGAACTTTTCCCCTGAAAAGTTGAAGCACTGAAGCACTACCGTGTTTCCTGAAAATGAGACCTACCCATAAAATAAGCCCTAGCAGGATTTCTAAGCATGTGCGCAATAGAAGCCCCACCCTGAAAATAAGCCCTAGTGACGGGCGTGGCTACGAAGCGTGTCTGCACGACCCGTGCGTGTCCTCGCAGAGCAGGAAAGAACACGAGCAGCCCTTCTCATCTGCCCCGTCCTGACAGCTACCATCCCAGAGGTGACCGGAAAGGTGTGGGCGGCCCCACCAACAAGGTCGGCTCCCCCATCAGGTCCTGGCCACCCTGTGCGTGCTACAAGCTGAGGCTTTGAGGGGAAAATAACACATCCCCTGAAAATAAGCCCTAGGGTGTCTTCTTGAGGAAAAATAAATATAAGACCCCATCTTATTTTCAGGGAAACAGTATCTTCAAGTTATTGATCAAATTTATTCACTCACAGCCCAGCGTGGGGTCACGTGCCTGTAGCACCAGCTGCTCAGGAGGCTGCAGAGAGCCATGGTCACGCCACTGTGCTCCAGCCTGGGTGACAAAGCAAGACCCTACCTCTAGAAAACTAAAATAAAATAAGAAAAGCGTAGAAGAAAACAATTGTCTTATAAAAAACACAGAAATGTATCCATTTTGATAGTTGACTCACTATAATAACCATTAGATTAATATTTATATAACTTATCAACCATTCAATTAGTTTTTAAGACTATCTAAGGCCGTGGTCCCCAACCCCTGGGCCATGGACCAGTCCGTGGCCTGTTAGGAACCAGGCCACAGAGCGGGAGGTGAGCAGCGGGTGAGCCAGCAAAACGTCATCTGTGTTTACAGCTGCTCCCGGTCACTTACGTCACTGCCTGAGCTCCGCCTCCTGTCAGATGGGTAATGGCGTTAGACTCTGCCTTATGGTGAGTTCCATGATTATTTTGTTATGTGTTACAATGTAATGATAACATAAATAAAGTGCACAATAAATGCAATGCACTTCAATCATCCCGAAACCATCCCTCCACCCCCACGCCACCCTCCATCCATGGAAAAATTGTCTTGCGTGAAATGGTTCCCTGGTGCCAAAAAGGTTTGGGGACCACTGCTCTAAGGAAAGAAATTTGATGACAGTTCCTGACTTTGTTTAAATTCCATTTGACTCCCAAAACGTAAGTTATTTTTCCCAGATCCAGAGTCTTGAGAATGGCACAAGTCCTGCCATCCAGGCCCCTATTCCCCTTGTTGCCTGCTGACATTCTGGGGCAATCTTTTTTGCAGGGCAGAGTGCAAGATTTCTTAAGGCAGACTTTGTGCCGTACACAGCGTCAGCTTTCAGCAGTTGCTCACAGGGCAGGCAATTGGGCGGTGGCTCTTCTCTGCCTGCTTGTAGGCGCGTTATCAGTGCCAGCCTGAATAAGCACTCGAGAAACCTTTGTTGAAGGAAAGAATGAATAAGCGAATTAATAAGTAACCGACTATTTGCACTGCCCGGGCAACCTCCCGTGCACCACACCCGCTCAAGAGCAATGCTCACAGCAGCCGGGACGTGGAGCAGCGGTGCGGCCGTGGGCAGACGGATGGACACCCACCGTGTGGTATGCACCGGCAACACAACGCCATTCAGCCACAAGGCGAGCGAAATTCCCATACTTGCTACGACAGGGACGGACTGGAGGACAGCTGGGAGGAGCCGGCGGGACACAGAAGGCCCGTCTGTCTGCGTCCCCCGCGCGCACGGCCCGCACTGCGCAGAGACGCCGGCGGCCGGGGTGAGCGGGGACGGGGGAACATCGCTAGGCGGTCTCGGAGCCCCGATCTGGAACATGCCATCGCTTCTGCAGGCGGTGGATGGCAGCCACGACCGCACGGCGCCGCGAACACGCTCACCGCCACTGAACCGCGCACTCGAACATGGCTGGAACGCCAAATTTTTGTGGCGTGTGTTTGCCACGATCTTTTCTGAAAAGATCCTCTATTGGAAAAGGGGCGTTCCACTCACGGCCGGGAGAGCGCATGGCGCACACGACACGGCATGGCGACCTGTGGAGCAGGCCCGGCCCTGTAAGGAATGCCGGAACCCGACGCCCACGTGACACCCACTTCCGGTCCGTCCCTCGCGCCGGTCGGCGGGCGCGCCCACGGCCACGCTGGCCGGGAGAGCCCAGGACGCGGGCTCGCCTTCCCCCGTGGCCCGCCGCCCCCGTGGCCCGCCGCCGCAGGAGCCTCCCCAGCCGCTCCTCTCAGCCCCGCCCAGCCTCCCTTCCCGCACCGGCCGCCCCGGACAGCACCCCTGCCTTCGTGCCCCACTGACCCTCGGGCCTCAGGCCGTCTTCTTAAACGTCATCCTGCCGCCGGCCCGCCAGCGGCGCTGCGTCTAATGCAGAGCGACATTCGCGCTCCGGTGGTCGCCAGTGACGCCCGGCTCGCTCCATGCCCGCCCACCGCCCAGCCTCCCCGCACCCTCCTCCCCGCACCCTCCTCCCCGCACCCTCCTCCCCACACCCTCCTCCTCACCCTCCTCCCCACACCCTCCTCCTCAGCCTCCTCCTCACCCTCCTCCCCACACCCTCCTCCCCTCACCCTCCTCCCCACCCCCCTCCCCACACCTCCTCCCACACCGTCCCTCCCCCTGCAGCCTCCACTCCTCACGCCTCCTCCCGCACCACTCACTCGCCACACCCCCTTGCCGTCCCGCCGCACCTCCCTGCCACAGCTCCTCCTCACCACTCCTCCCCCACCCACTCCTCCTCAGCCTCCTCGCTCACCTCCCTCCCGCACTCATCCGCCCACACCTCGTCGCCACCACTCCTCCTCCACCCTTCCTCTCCACACTCCTCCTCACCCTCCTCCCCGACCCCCATCCTCCTCACTCCCTCCTCACCCTCGCTCCCCACCCCGCCCCCATCTCCCCACACGCCTCCCTCCTCACCCTCCGCTCCCCGCACCCTCCTCCAACACCGTCCTCCTCACCCTCCTCGGCCCGCACCCCTCCTCGCTCACCCTCCTCCCCCACCACCCTCCTCCCCACATCACCTCCCCCAACCAGCTCCTCCTGCAGCCTCCCCTCGACCCCTCCTCCCCGCACCCTCCTCCCCACATCCTCCTGCCCACACCTCCTCCACACCTCCTCCTCACCGCTCCCTCCCCGCACCATCCCACCAACACCTTCCCTCCCCGAACCCTGCCCTCCCACACTCTCCCTCACCCCTCCTCGAGCCCGAACCCGTCTCCCACACCACTCCTCTCCACCCCTCCTAACCCCACACGCCTCCCCACACCCCCCTCCGCAATACCTCCTCCGCCACACCATCACGCTCGCTCGCCGCACTGTCCTCCGCTCCCGACCATCGCGCCACACCCTCCTCCTCCCCGCACCCCTCACAACGCTCACCTCCCCGTGCCACCGCTCCTCCCGCCTTCCACACCGCCTCGCGCTCTCACCCTCCCCTCCCTCACGCGCTGCCTCCCCACAGCCCCTCCTCCGCCACACCTACTCTCCGGACCCTCTCCTCACCCTCATGCCCCACACCCTTCCTCAACCTCCTCCCACCCTCCTCCCCACCACCCTTCCCCACCCCATGCCCCACACCCTCCCCTCCACCCTCCTCACCCACCAAGCCTCCCGCCACACCGATCCCCACACCCTCCTGCCCCGCAGGCCCGTTCCCGCACAGATCCCCACACTCCTACCAACCGCCATCCTCCTCCCGACACCGATCGGCGACCCACAGCTCTCGGCCCCGCCATCCTCCTCCACCCGCACCATCCCCCACAGCCGCCTCCTCCTCCCACACCTCAACCACCCTCCTCCCTGCACGCCTCCTCCGCCGCGCAGCCCTCCTCCCCCCGGTCAGCCCCCGCAGCCCGGCACCTCTGGGTAAACCGACTCCTTCTCATTCTCGCTTCCGTACCAGAGGTTTCGCACGGCACAGGGCACAGCTCCGCGAGGGCGCTGCGGTCTTCCGCTTGCCCTGCCTGGCGCTGCCGCTTCTGCTCCCTCTCCCCATCCGCCACCGTCCCAGCTCCGAGGGGCCGTCACCGCCGGGGCCGCCCTGCCCGCAGCACCCCGCCCGGCGTCCCACCCCGCTCCGAGGCGTCCACCGGGGGCTCGCCCACCGCACCCCAGTGGGCAGTGCCAGCTGAGGGGCGTCACCGGCGGGCGCCACAGCACCCCAGCGGGGCCGTCGACGCTCGAGGGCGTCACCGGACAGGGGGCTGCCCCAGCGACCACCGGGCGTCCCACTCGAGAGCGGCGTCACACGGCCGGCCTGCCCCAGCACCGCCAGCCGGGCGTCCCAAGCGCTTCGAGGGGCGTCACCCGGGGGCCTGCCACGCACCCCAGCCCGGGCGCTCCCAGCGCTCGAGGCGTCACCCGGGCCTGCCCCAGCACGCCACGCCGCGGGCTCCCCAGCCTCGAGGGGCGTCACCCGGGGCCGTGCCCCGCCAACCCCAGCGCCGGCGTCCCAGCTCGAGGGGCGTACCCCCGGGGGCTGCCCAGCACCCCAGCCCGGCGTCCCAGCTCGAGGGGCGTCACCCGGGGGCCTGCCCAGCACCCCAGCCCGGGCGCCAGCTCGAGGGCTCACCGGGGCCTGCCCCAGCACCCAGCCCTGGCGTCGCAGCTCGAGGGGCGTCACCCGGGGCCTGCCCAGCACCCCAGCCCGGGCGTCCCAGCTCGAGGGGCGTCACCGGGGGCCCCGACCGGGGCGTCCATGGCACTCACCGTGCCCAGCACCCACGCCCGGGCGTCCCAGCTCGAGGGGGTCACCCGGGGGCTGCCCAAGCACCCCAGCCCGGGCGTCCAGCTTCGAGGGGGCGGTCACCGGGGCTGCCCCCAGCACCCCAGCCCGCGTCGCACGCTCGAGGGGCGTCACCCGGGGGCCTGCCCGCAGCACCCAGCCCGGCGGCGCCAGCTCGAGGGGCGTCACCCGGGGGCCAATGCCAGCCCCGACCAGCCCGGGCGTCCAGCTCGAGGGGCGTCCACCCGGGGGCACTGCCCAAGCACCCCAGCCCGGGCGTCCCAGCTCGAGGGGCGTCACCGGGGCCTGCCCAGCAGCCCCAGCACGGGCGTCCCCAGCTCGCGGGGCCGTCACCGGGGCCCTGCCCCAGCACCGCCAGACCCGGGCGTCGCAGCTCGAAGGGGCGTCACCCGGGGGGCCTGCCCGCAGGCCCCCAGCCGGGCGGTCCGCAGCTGGAGGGGCCGTCACCCGGGGCTGCCCCAGCACCCCCAGCCCCGGCGTCCCAGCTCG